TGGGTTGTTTATTTACTTACACCAGCCCAAGTCGATGAACTAATTTCGTCATTTATATAAATGATTGAAAAGTGTTTGGGTTTTGACTGTAAATGTAAGTTTGTGAACGCTATTGAATGATCGGCCGCTTATTTATTCACATATATATATTTTTTACTCCTAGTCTTTACGTGAATACTACTCATGTAATATAATTCTAATATACTTATCTTAGTGTATGAACAATTAATATGGGTTCCAAAATTCGATGTTATAAATGATCTTCTTGTAACATGTTCAAGATATATAGTGTAAAAGTTAAACTAAATAGCTTAGCAAAGACAATTATTCACAAGTTTACTTGAACGAAATGTATCTTATATAAAGATCTATTAAGCAATAATAAAGATCGGTATCAAAGTGCACATTGGTACGTGTGATCGATTCATGTAGCTCAAATGTACGTATATGACCCTAAAATCCTAATTTAAAAAAAAAAGAAAAAATGACATAAATTCTAGCCCTAGTGGCCCCTCCCCCATGCATATTTCTTTTCATGCTTTCACATCTCTTGTCACACCTCTCTCTCTCTCGTACGGATTTTAGTGTATACATGTATAGATATCCCCACATGAACTCATAGACATTGAAAATGTAGAAATGTATTCTAGAAAATGAACTCATAGACATTGAAAATGGCTGATTCAGACCATAACCCTACAGATAAGAGCGTATCATCATGGAGTCTTTTAGCTCAACCGGACTACGACAAAGGTAGGAAGCGGTGGACACAATTGACACTGAAACACACACACAACACACAAAAACTATGCAAGTCAATAAGTTATACTCCTTCTGTGCTACTAAAATGAATTTTCTGAGTTTTACACATATATTAAAAAGATGAATTAATTTTGTATCATAAATATATTAATTTTCATAATAAACAGTTTTCTAAAAAATTTGACCAATAGTGTTTTAATAAAAATTTTAAAATTTTTTAATCTGTTAGCATGATAAAAATGTATTCATAACACTAAAAA